CATAAAAAAAAAAATCTAAGCTTAAGTAGCTGTCACCAAATTTAGAACTTCCCTTTCAAAGACACCATTAGGAGGATGAAAGGATAAGGTGTGAACTGAGAGAATGTATTTGCCATAAATATATCTGACAAAGGAATTGTGTTTATAATATGAAAAGAACTGTAACAGCTTAATCAAAAAATCCTAAACAACTGGGTCAGCTGGTGGTATAGTGGTTAAGGCACTGGATCCCATATGGTTCAATCCTCTGATCCAGCAACTTGAAAACCATCCCAGGCACATTTGCATATGTGCCCCAAATCCAGAGGGGAGAATGGAGAAGGGTTTGTGGCATGGCCGTCCCCCTAGTGGGTGATTCCCTAGAACAAACAAAAGCAAAATCCTAAATGATCTAATTAAAAATGAGCAAAAGAATTACACAAATACTTCATAGAAAGGAATACTGTCTGTGGACATCTAATAGCACACAATGCCTCGGATTCCTCAGTCATCAGGGAAAGGGAAATTTAACCTCCAAAGAAATACACTGCCTACCAGTATTAGGTTTCTATTACTGCAGTAACACGTTACTGCAGACGTGAGTTGAAAACATAGACCTATCATCTACAGTTCCGTAGGCCAGAAGTCTGAAGGAGTCTCACTGGGCTAAACTCAAGGTGTCAGCAGGACTCTTTTCCTTTTGGGTGCTCTAACAGAATCAGTTTCCTTGCCCAGCTTTTGGAGGTCACCCACATGCCTTCATCTCTGGGCTCTTTCCTCCTTCAAAGCCAGCGATAGCAGCCTGAGTCCTCTTTACACTGCCATTGCTAGTCTTCCATCTCTTATCACTTCTCTGTGAACACAGCCAGGAAAGGTTTTCCGCATCTAAGGACATATGTGGGCCCACCAAAAAAATTCAGAATAATCTTATGTTAAGGTAGGTTCTTTAATTACTCCTTTTATCACACACACACACACACACACACACACACACACACACACTCACACACACTCACACACACACACATATATACCAGGGATGGGATGTGGAAATCTGGCGCGGGGGGGGGCAGTGGAGTAATATTTTGCCTGCTCCAATACCCATCATATTTAATTCATATTAAATTCTCAAAGAATACAAAGTATTGGTAAGAATGTGGAGCAAGGGGAGAATTATACATTGCTTGTGAAAATACAAAATAGCCAGCCATTAAAAAAACATTTTGGCATGTTCTTTAACAGTTAAATATGCATTTATCATATTGGTACAGCAGTCCCACTCCTAGGTATTTACCCGAGAAAAATGAAAACATATGTTCACAAAAATTCCTTTTTGTAAATGTTCGTGGTAGCTTTATTTATAATGACAGAAAACTGAAAACAACCCAGATGTCCATTTACATGTCAAATGATATAAATTGTGGGATATTCACACAGTAGATATTACTCATAATTAAAAAAACTGCTGATATATATATATA